GTCAGCTAGTAAGGGTTAGTCAACTAGTTAGTGTTAGTCAACTAGTGAGGGTTAGTTAGTCAGCCAGTTAGGGTTAGTCAGCTAGTAAGGGTTAGCCAGTTAGTTAGTGTTAGTCATCTAGTAAGTGTTAGTCAGTTAGTTAGTGTTAGTCAGCTAGTAAGGGTTAGTCAGCCAGTTAGTGTTAGTCAGCTAGTAAGGGTTAGCCAGTTAGTTAGTGTTAGTCAGCTAGTAAGGGTTAGTCAGTTAGTTAGTGCTAGTCAGCTAGTAAGGGTTTGTCAACCAGTTAGGGTTAGTCAACTAGTGAGGGTTAGTCAGCTAGTAAGGGTTAGTATGTTAGTGTTAGCCAGCTAGTAAGGGTTAGTCAACCAGTTAGGGTTAGTCAACTAATGAGGGTTAGTCAACCAGTTAGGGTTAGTCAATTAGTGATGGTTATTCAGCCAGTTAGGGTTAGTCAGCTAGCTAGTTAGGGTTTACTCTTTATCTATTTAGTTGGCTTTGCATATTTATATGCGCATACATTTGTATACAGGATGTATACAGCTTTGTGTGCCCTGCTGGGTAAAGCAAGCTCTGATTCTCTGACCCTGAGTAAGTTCTCACTAGGAAATCTCTGTGGGCTCCCACAGTGCCTTGTAATGTGTTCTGTCTGCCTGTATGTGTATGGGAGGGAGTCTGATCCCCTGGAACAGAGTTACAGACAGTTGTGAGCTGCCATGTGGGTACTGAGAATTGAACCCGGGTCCTCTGGAAGAGGAGCCAGTACTCTTAACTGCTGAGACATCTCTCCAGCTCCCCATAACTTCGATTTTTAAAATGTGAAATGCATCACACATGCTGCTTTGAATTGACAAATGAGTATTGAGGGGTTTTGTTGTTATTGTTTGTTTTGTTTTGTTATTCAAGACAGGGTTCTCTGTGTGGCCCTGCCTGTCCTGGAACTCACTTTGTAGACCAGTCTGGCCTCGAACTCACAGAGATCCACCTGCCTCTGCCTCCCATATGTTGGGAATAAAGATGTGGGCCACCACCACCCGACAGAATATTGACTTTTTAATGTTAAGCAGGTATGTGTGTGCACATTGCCAATTGCATGTTCAGGGGGTCTTCACTGTTACTGCTATCATGTTCTTCCTACCCCTCAGGAGGCTTGTGTGTGTGTGTGTGTGTGTGTGTGTGTGTGTGTGTGTGTAATATTTTTATTGATTATTGGTTATTTCACATCATGAACTCCAATCACATTCTCTTCCCAGTCCTCCCAGGTCCACGTCCTCATCTTTGTGACCTCCCCCAAGAAGAAGAAAGAGGAGGAGGAGGAAGAGGAGGAGTGGGAGGAGAAGGAGAGGAGGAGGAGAAGGAGGAAGAGGAGAGGGTCTAATTTGTGTTGTCCATATGTTCACTGGAGCATGGCCCAACTCCCCCCACTAGCCCCTAAGCTCTGTGTTATGATTTAACAAAAGTCATCCATCTATATTTGCTCCTTGTCTCTGGTTCCTCCTAAAAACCTTGGAAACTCTGGAGTCTTGTCATTCCTCTGTGACCTCTGGAGTCAACGGGTGTGTCCTTTATCATTCCCACTAAGTCCTTCCGCCTTGTCTGACCTTGTGCCAACAGTGACTCAGAACAGACTTTAGATGGACTCAAAGAGGAGCTGCCACACCAGGAGGGCTGAGAACGTAACTGGAGGGCTGGAGCCGTCGGCTGCCGAGAACTAGTTGCTTCCCTTGTCACTGAGGCGAAACACCAACGACTTAAGGGAGAGAGGACTTATTCTGTGATGGTTTCAGGGGATACTGCTTCTCAGGTGAATGGATGTATCTGACAGTCAGTAGAGTGGGGGTGTGTCTGTCAGTAGATGGGGTGTATCTGTCAGTAGATGGGGTGTATCTGTCAGTAGATGGGGTGTATCTGTCAGTAGATGGGGTGTATCTGTCAGTAGTTCTGAGAGCCGCAGGAGACATCTCCTCACACTTTAGCAGACCAGAAAGCAAAGAAATGGACAGAAGCAGAGCCAAGCCCAAGACCCATCTCCAGGGCCTAAGTCCACAGCTGGGTTCCTAGCCCCAGAGGTTCCATAACCTCCCAAACAGCAAGCACCTCCAGCCAGAGACCAAATGCCCCCAAACATGAGCCTGTGGGTGGCATTTCACAGTGGCATCATAGCACCCACTTCCACCTCCAGGGAGGGAAGAGGGGCCGAAGTCTAGTCCCATGCTTAGTAGTGAACTCCATTGAGCTTCCCAGTTGATGGCACATAATGTGAGAGGGGTCATGTCACACACCCAGGGACAGAGCGGCCACCTCTCCTTCAGACTTCACCCAGATTGTCTCTACTAAGACTGTTTCTAAAGCTGGGCACCGTGCACGGACCTGTTATCCCAGGAAAGGCCCAGGAATCAAGAGCTCAGGGCTAGCCTCCTCTATATAACATGTTTAAGTCTAGCCTGGGCTACAAGAGACCCTATCTCAAAATAGTAACAACAATAAGAAGCCAACAATAAGAAAAACCAACACAACCCCACAAAACAAGCGTGTGGCTGTTCCTAATGTGTACCATTTACAATAGGATGGCGCTAAGCCTTTGCTGGGTTCTGTGAGTTGGAGCAAGTCCTCAGTTCTGAAGCGGGGTCTTGGGAACCCTGAACTGACAGTCACACTGGTTAGTAAGAGCCCTGGGTAAACCCCTGGGATTACCCATGCTGGTGTGCTGTGGGCCAGAGTTCCAGATCTGCGGGTGCAAACTGCAGGTACTGTGAGAACCCAGTGTGACTGCTGGGCGTCCAGCTGGTGCTGAGGAAGTGCTGAAACACCCTGGGGGGCAGGGAGCACTCTCACATTGTGTGAAAACGTTGTGAATACTGCCAGCAAGACCGTAGACCTTGAATACCAAATAGAAGCAATTGTGTTACTAGAACACATCATTGTCAAGGGAGATTAACGCAGTGCTTCTAACCTACGGGGTTGCAACCCCTTTGGGAATTGAAGAACCCTTTCACAGGGGTTATATATCAGATAGCCTGCTGCTGGAGGGCTTCTCTCCAGGTTCCCCAAGCCCCGCAGTCCCACAATCCACATATAAAATAATCACTCAGACACTTATATAACTTATAAATTGTATGACCGTGGCAGGCTTCTTGCTAACTGTTTTTTTTATTTTAAATTAACCCATTTCTATAAATCTATACCTTGCCACATGGCTGGTGGCTTACCGGCGTCTTTACATGCTGCTTATCCTGGCGGTGGCTGCAATGTCTCTCCCTCCTTCTTCCTGTTTCCCCAATTCTCCTCTCTCCTTGTCCCGCCTATACTTCCTGTCTGGTCACTGGCCATCAGTGTTTTATTTATATAGAGTGATATCCACAGCAATAGCCTGCATATCAGATATTACATTACTACTCATAACAGTAGCAAAATTACAGTTATGAAGTAGCAACACAAATAATTATATGGTTGGCGGTCACCACAACATGAGGAACCATATTAAAGGGCCTCAGCATTAGGAAGGTTGAGAGCCACTGGATTAAAGTATTGACTTTTTAAACGGTGTATTTATTTTATGTGTATGAGTGTCTGGCCTGCACACTTGTTGGTGTACCATGTGCAAACCTCAGCCTACAGTCTGAAGAGGATGTCCGATCCCCTGGAACTGGAATTATAGATGGGCTGTGAGCCACTCTGGTTGCTGGGAACTGAACCCAGGTCCTCTGCAAGAGCAGTAAGTGCTCTTACCCTCTGAGCCATCTCTCCAGCCCCAGTAGTGACATTAGAAATTATTTATTTATTTTGTGTGCGGGGTGTGTGTGAGAGGAGTCCATTCTCTCCTTCCTCCATTCCCGGGGATCAAACTCAGGTCCTCAGGGTTGGCAACAGGTTATCTTTGCCTAATGAGCCATCTCTCCTGACCTTGACAATTATTTAGAGTTATCTTTTTTGTCTGTTTGGTTTTTTTGAGACAGATTTTCTCTGTGTAACAGTCCTGGCTGTCCTGAAACTTGCTTTGTAGCCCAGGCTGGCTTTGAACTCACAGAGATCTGCCTTCCAAGTGCTGGGATTAAAGGTGTATGCCACCACTGCCAGGCTGAGCTAAGTCATTCTTGCTACACAAATGCTACAAGGTATACAATAAACAACAACAATAAAAACAAACAAAAACCTGTCTCCTTATTGTTCTACTGACCCATCAAAGATAATGAAGCTGGTTTACACAACATTGTGTTGAGGTGTAGATCCGGCTGAAGGCTTTGCTAGTCACTTGAATTGGTTTTCTTCCATGTGGACCCAGCCTCCCGGGGAACTGGAACCAAATAGCTACTGTTAGGGAGTGACTAGGATGCCCTCTGAGAGTAGCAAGTTATATTTCCTCCAGGAGAAATTTTGTTTACATTGGTTCTTTTAGATGAATTGATTGTTTCCACCCTTGCCCCATCCTCCTCTCCTACATGCTTGCCTGTTATTCAACTTACTGAATTTTGTTTCAGGCCAGGCTCGGGACCGCACCCAGTTGAACTAAAAATCCAAGTGGAGGCATTCTTATTTAAAGAATGTGCCACCACACTGAAACTAGATTGTTCTCAGACCTTTTGAGATTCCAGGAGAGACATAACAAATAGCCGTTTCTCCAAAAAAGACCAATTCCAGTTGACACATTTCCCCTGCTCCAATCCTCACCCCTCCCCTTGATAAGGAGGGAAAGTAAGCTGATAGGAAGCAATCCCTTGGCGGTGGTGGTTTTTCTAGTACTTTGTTTCCCTGTTCCTGGTTAAAAGGGAAGTAACTTTAAAATAACCCACCCCGAGCTGGGGCTGGAGCTGGTTGGTAGAGTGCTTTGAGTGGCACTCCTCAAGCCCTGGTTCCATCGCCAGCACCACATAAAGCCATGCCTCTTGGCAAATGCCTGTAAGCCCAACATTCAAAGAGTGGAGGCAGGGGGATCAGAAACTAACCTCCGGTCTCAGCTGGAGCCTCCCACACTGGGAGATGCAGGCCAGCCAGCTATGAGACCCTGTGTAGAGGCTTTTTCTTTTAGGCCACCAACCAGCTCCCAAATCACGACACAGAGACTTTTATTATTAGTTTTTAGTGCTCAGCCTCGCTTAGGCTCATTTCTGGCTAGCTCTTTTAACCGGTTTCTCTCTACCTACTTTTTGCCTCAGAGCTTTTCCCCTTTTCCTTCTGTATACCTTACTTCCACTACTCCTTGGGTCTGACTGGCTGGCTGCTGCCTGACTTCGGGTCCTCAGTGAGTCCCTCTGTCCTCCTTCCTTTCTCATTCCTTCCTGAGCCTAGATGTCTCCTATTTATTCTCTCTGCCTGCCGGCCCTGCCTATCCTTCTCCTGCCTAGCAATTGACTGGTCAGTTTTTTTTAGACCAATCAGGTGCCTTAGGCAGACAAAGTGACACAAAAGTAACACATCTTTACATAATTAAACAGATGCAGCATAAACAAAAGTAACACACCTCTACACTGTTAGAGGAATATTCTGCAGCATAAACAAATGTAGCACATCTTTGCCTAGTTAAAATAATATTCCACAACTGCTGTGTGATGGTCTGTATGTCAAATCTGTTGCTCTGATTGGTCAATAAATAAAACACTGATTGGCCAGTGGCTAGGCAGGAAGTATAGGCGGGACTAACAGAGAGGAGAAAAGAAAGAACAGGAAGGCGGAAGGAGTCACTGCCAGCCTCCACCATGACAAGCAGCATGTGAAGACACTGGTAAGCCACGAGCCATGTGGCAAGGTATAGATTTAAGGAAATGGTTTAATTTAAGCTGTAAGAACAGTTAGCAAGAAGCCTGCCATTGCTATACCCTTTGTAAGCAATATAAGTCTCTGTGTTTACTTGGTTGAGTCTGAGCAGCTGTGGGACTGGCGGGCGACAAAGATTTGTCCTGACCGTGGGCAAGGTAGGAAAACTCTAGCTATACACAACAACCCTGTCTTTAAAAAATGAACTAATCTTCTCTACTCTGCCCATCATATTGAACCATGTGGTCTACTTTAAGGAATGAAAGAATTACTGGCTGGGCGGTGGTGGCGCATGCCTTTAATCCCAGCACTCGGGAGGCAGAGGCAGGCAAATCTTTGTGAGTTCGAGGCCAGCCTGGTCTACAGAGCGAGATCCAGGAAAGGTACAAAGCTACACAAAGAAACTCTGTCACGAAAAACAAAAACAAAAACAAACAAACAAACAAACAAAAATTACCAGATTCTAGAATCATAAGTCAAGCCATTTAAGATATGCAAGCCAAACTGTTTAATTTTGTCCTTTAAGACATCCTTCACTCCCACAAAGGAAGGACATTAGAAAGTCATACCATGAATAACACAGTGGCAGAAATACTTTGAAGTCTTTAAAAAGACTTTAAGGGCCCAATAAATAGCTAATTATAAGGAAATTACATCTCTCTGGGAACACGGGGAAAGGACTATTCTGCATCTTTAGGGCATGAACAGTCAAATGAAGGACAACACTTAGATTTGGACAAAAAGTCAAACCAACTCATGAGGCACAACATAGACTAAATATTTGCAAAG